CCCATGTGATCAGCCTCCATCCTTAGGTTACTGTGAGGCTTTCTAAAAGTCACTCACTGACATAACAAAACACACCTTTATCCTTCTCCTCATGGGAAATTCCAAGTGTTTTAGGAGCTCTGTGCCAGAAATGAGGATGAAGGTTCAATACATATTTCTTACTAAAAATCACAATTCCAGTCTCATGCAGAAGAAAAAAATATATATATATAAAACCTTGGTCATCACCCCAACCTCTTCCTGCAGGAGACTGTCTTCTCAGGGCAGGGCGCCCACCAGAGGATGTGCGTTCCCAATGGTGGGTGAAGTTCGAGGCACAGGGTGGTCCCTGCTTCTCAAGGTGGAGGTGGGATGGCAGAAGGTGAGGCTAGAGTTGTGCCTGATTTCAAGCCACTCTAAAGTGATAATGATGCTATGTTTAAACTAACTTCAATGAAAGGATATCCCACACAGCCCACAAGACCTACCTGGGGCCTTGGCTAGGAATGAGGTGAGGGAGTCACTGGGAGAGGCGATTAAACCTCGCCCCATATCCAGGCAACTGAACAGACAGGAAGCAATCCATAAGAAGCCCTGCCAAACGCCTTGGAGAGTGTAGAGGGATCAGTGAGAGTTGGTGTGAGGGGGAGGCATAGATGCCAGGAGTCATCTTGTGTTATATCCTTCTCCGCACTCTCAAACCTGAAGGTAAGGAGATAGAGAACACTGCTGTCTCCAGAGCTCATTTCAATGAGCCACTCCTATTCATGAGTGAGAGATCTTTTGAAAAGTCTCTTGTGGCAGATGGACAGATCAACAGGGGCCTGAATGTGGGTGGAAGTGAGAAGAATTTCCTGGGTGTGCTCTAACACACCAGGAGGGAAAAAGGAGTGGCATGGAAGGTAGTAGCAGGTTGTGTGTGTTGTGTTAGGTCCCCTGGCAACTCTCACCCCAAAGGAACTCAATTTCCCATGGGAATTAATTAAAGGCTTGGGCTTTGAGTCCAGACTGATAGAAGTGGGGGCAGTGAGGGTCATGTGGGGTGGGCAGATGTGGGCAGACCTCAAAGCAGCACATACAGTTGGAGAACACTTGAGGGTTGTGAGGAGGTTGGCTACAGAAAGTTTTGGAAATTGGAGGAGGACTTTTGACTGTATCAGGCTGAAGAACTTAGGTGTAGGCTAAAATTAATCTCAAGGGGTACCCATCTGGCATCGAAATACATATGTATATGATGATAATATTAATAGATTTCACTTACTCTGCAACGTGCTAAGTGTTTTTTATATGCATTATCTTATTTGATTCTATTCTCATACAACCGCAACAGGTAAGTATGATTATTGCCTCTACGGAGTTCATTCCTGTTACACGTTTTATTTTTTAACTGCATTTTTAAACTAAATAACTGTAGGGCACCACACAACAAAGGAAGTTAAAGGAATAAAAAAGAAATAAACTGTAAAGGAAACAGGTGCAGGGAGCCTGATAGCCTGATTCTTAAGCCTGTGCTCCTGGTTACTGTGTGTTCTCAATCTCTTCTCCCTTCCCCTCTCTTATCCATCCATTTGTCCACCCACTCATCCACTTATGCATCAACCCATCCACCCACCCACACACCCATCCATCATCCATCCATCCATCATCCATCATCCATCTATCCGTCCGTCCACCCATTCATCTGTCCATCTATCATCTGATCATCCATCCATCCATCCATCCATCCATCCATCCATCCATCCATTCATCATCATCCATCCATCCATCCATCCATCCATCCATCTATCCATCCATCCAACCATTTACTCATACGCCCATTCATCCATTCATCTTTTTGACTAATTTATATCTAGGTATAGATATAATTCCTTTTTAGTAGAGGTTGAATTAGATAACCTAAAAATTTCTTTTCAGCTCTTAGTTTCTGCGAGGTATCTTTTACCTTAGACTGTTTTTTTGTTTGTTTGTTTGTTCTTTTTTTTTTTTTGGCAGGGTATTGGTCTTCCTAATTAAGTTGCTTGGTGTTATTGAAACATACATTTCAAAGCTGGCACAAATCTAGGAAACAGGCCAGTCCAAGTCACCCATTTCATGAATGAGATGAAGTGACTCACTGAAGCTCACCTGTCCAGAACTTTGCCAGGATACCACCCTGCTTCAGATTATTTTCAATTCTGGATACATGGCAAGTGGTAATTAAGAACAATCTAGATGGACAATGAGCAAGATGGAATGGAATTGGAACATCACTCATTTTTACCTCTCTTGTATGCTAAGTCACTGATGACAATGACAGTGGTGGTGGTGGTGGTGATGGCAGTGACGATAATGACTCTGGTGAAAAATAGGGCACTTATATCAGAAGGTATTCAGAGAGGTCATCTGATTTACCTTCTTGCTTCCTGCTAACTAATGCCTGATTCATTCATGAAAGATGCCTACCTTATTTTGAAAACTGCCCCAGAAAACTTGAAACCTTTTCTAGCCTCATCTCTTCCTGATTTTAGCCAGAGTTCCTTCCTGTTATATACGTTTATTCTTTTCCTCTATTTAAAAAATATCTACTGAATAGCATATAGGTCTTCAAATCACACAACAAAAGAAAATTAAAGGAAGCAAAAAGAAGCAAACTATATGATCATGGTTAGCAAGAGAGTGATGATAAAGCAGAAGCAGAGTTTGGGGAGAGAGAATCTTTCTGGTTCAGCCTTCATGCAGACACAAAAGACAATATTCATGCTGCTTCCTTTCTTTTCAAATTCCAAGAATCACAGTGTGGTCGAAGTTGAGTCACCTGGAAGGTATGTTAAAGACTAATTGTTACTTTGGACTTTTATTCACAGCAAGCTCTCTCCCATTTACTCTCAGAGCTGGGTTGAGTGACCTCTTGGCTTCCAACCTTTTCTACATTTGCTCCTTTGGAGAAAGAAGGAATAAGTAAGACCCAGAAGACAATATTATGGAATATCTACACTACATCAAGCACTGAGATGTACATCATTTATATCACTTGTTCATCCCCACAATCTTGAAAGGATGGTATTATTGCCATGTTGCAGATGAGAACTCTGAGGTTCAGAAAGTTCTAGGGTTCCCTGACTGATTAGTGATAGAGGTTGAATTGAGCACAGATCTATATGCTCCACAGTTACTCACATGAGGAAAAGACCTTGGGAGCATTGATCTGCGTTTCTCTTTAGATTCTGACTGAGATGGACATGATTTCTCCTGTCCATCCTCCAGGTCCCACCTTCTCTAGTCTATGAGCCTATAGCCTCATATTCTGATAGTACGATCCTTTTTTTCTAACATGTATGATCATGAAGTGGTTCATCTCATATACTTACACATATTGTAGACTGAAGTCTCCACCTCTAGCTCTAACTCATAACACCAAACAAGGCTTACTTTCCAGTCTTTCACCCGCTTTTCCTTCCATGGAATAAACACCAACCTTTGCACGTAAGCCTACCCCCACGTTATAAGGTTGCCTCTGCCAGCCCACACTGCCCGCTGTGTAGGGAGGCACCGAAAACTTGCCTGGGCCCATAGCCTGACCTCTGTGTAGGACAGCATGTAGGCCTGCGCCACCGAGTCACATGCCGAATGCCCAGAGTAGCACTTGAATGGTGACGCAGAGGAGGAGCTGTCAACATCTCAGAGGGCGCAGACCCTGCATGACAGGCTGAGGAGAGGCCAGCTCCTGTATTTGGCTGATGGTTTATTCCCAAAGGCAGCAAGACTGCAACAGAGTATAGCAGAGATACAAGGCCAAGTGGAAGTAGAGTTTCACTTGGGCTTTTAAAATCAAATGACTAGCCTTTACATGTTTCCAGCCAAAAACCTTCAAAAAGGGATAGGAACAACCCTGATGCCACTCTCACCTCCCACCCGATAAGTTCAAGCTAAATGAAGAGCAAGCAGTCCGATCTGGATACAGGAGGAAGACAAAATTCTACAGGTGGGTCTCACTGGGATCCCTTTGCTCTCTTCAAAATGAGGACAACTGGGTTTGGACTTATTATTCTAACCTTGAATCCTAAAGACCATCCTTAGAGAGAAACATGCTCGTTGAAAGATGAGAACATGGGAAGCATGGTGCCTTTAAATAACAAAGGAAGGGAGTCTCTCGAATTGAGAGAATTGGGGAAATGGGCACTCCACTGGGATGAAGAGGCAGAGTGGGAAGGCAGGCTGTGTGTAACTCTGTTTTGTCAGGAGAGAAATTACCTACATCAAGGAGTGGAGATTTAACAGGAGACACTCCTGCCCAACCTGTGTTGGTCAGCCTTATGTCAATCCCAGGGCCCCAGATGCCTACCAAGTCTTACTTTACAGCTAGCCTCAATCTTCCCTATTTATCAGGGCAATTAATAAGATAAAGTGATTTTCCCTCAGGTTGTGTCTTTAAATATACAGTTGGTATAGATCAACCAAACAGCGTGTCCACTCAGACTTCTGGGAGAGGGGCTTCTCTCTTTTCGGGAGTCTGACATGGCTTGGCTAGTTGTGGGAGTCCCCGTCAGCTGTGACAGACCAGGTCATCGCCCAGGGCCAAGAATAAGGCACCAGGCTTTTGGGTGTGTGTGTGAGAGTGTACACAGAAACTGTCACACCCACACCCCACATACCACAATAGGGTGGAGCAAGCCACTTGTCTTTAATGTTCTCATGTTCAGAAATACTGAGCTTTTGACGTTGTTGTTGCTGGGTCCTTAAGGACACAGCCCAGAAATGCTCAGCCGACCTAAAGGGGACCTATCCCACAGCCGTTCCCTTATCTTCCCTTCACATCTGGGGTTCCTGGACTCTGACCAGGTCAGAGCCATGAATAACATTTATTTCCTCAGGGGAAGCAGCGGTCATGTCTAGCCACGTCTGATCTCCCAGCTCGCATCCACAAGCCCACACCACCCTCTTTTGGCATTTTCTCAAGTTGCACAACTTGGTCATGGAATTTGGGGTTAACAATGAGTTACCATATTGCTCCTTTCCAAAGATAAAATTAAAAACCACAACACTGAAGATGACATGAAAGCATTTAATCTTTGATAGTTTAGAAAACACTTCGGGATCTTGAAGGGCCTGAGGGTTGAGCCCTGAAAAGTGATTATTGATCCTTGGGGTGCTGCGTGGATATACACAAGTGCTGCTTGAGGGGAGGCAGTGTGTCGCCTGAAATGAGAATCAGGAGCCCAGCTCTGGTCCCAGCTCTGTTACCAAGCAGCAGCGACCATGGATGAGTCACTTCCCTTCCCCAACAAGGTTGGACTAGAGCATCTCTAAGGCCCCCACCCCCATCCCTGATAGTCTATGAATAACTAGCAAAGAATGTATTGGGATGATTTTCCACAAGCACTGAGGAAGTTAAAAACTATTTGCAATAGTGTGGATGAGGCCTGAAACAGTTCTTACAAAGCCTCTGGGCTCAGGCTCCCATCTCAATGTTGGCCCAGCCCTGGGGTCACTCACGTGCAGACTGAGACAGGGAGCAGAAAGAACAGGAACAACAGAATCAGGGACCACCACAGAGTTTATTATTGGGAAGGGGTGTTGTGGGGTCATTTGTCCTGCTTTCTCAGATCAACAAGACCCCTGCTGCTCTCAGTCGACCAAGAGTTTTTAGTTACGAGAACGTCCTGTCTTTCTTTGGAATGGGGGACAGTGAGAAGGCAGCAGGTGAAGAGATAAAAAAAATCAACTCCTCTTGACCCCAGGTCCCTGTCCAGAAGGCCGGAATTGAGAGAGGGATCCAGCAAGGTCTGAGCCCGTCTCCACTCATTGCAGGGATTCAGAGAGACTCACATTTCATGTGACGCTGCATTTGCCTAATGTCACTGATAATCCATTGTCTCACCTGACTTTCTTTTCTTAGGCTTAGACACTCCTCTCCACTCAGGCTGGCTAGGCTGGACTCTACCCAATGTATGAAAATCTCCAACACGAGCAGAATTCTGAGCAATGACTCCACGTGTCATATAAATAGCTTCAGCGATATATACAGCCTATAATACACGCACATACATGCATACACACACACACACACACACACCCTCTTGTGTCAAACATCTTCAGGATGATTTGTGCAGGTACTCATTGGTACAACCACCCTAAATATACTTATGTTTGCACCTAATCCCTCCTTCCCTTTCACCTCAGAGAGAAGAGAACATCAGAGAGAAGCCTCCCCCCGCCCACCCCTGAGTTGTGAGGTGGCAAAGGCTCCTATGTGGAGCCCCGAGTCTCTTCTTGTAGGACGAGCAGGGGGCTGTGCAGGCCGTGCTGCCTCTACTCCTTCAGCAGCCCCAGCTTCCTCAAAGCCTCCCTTCTGTGTTCATCAGGGATGCCTTTGGGGGAGATCTTGACACTGACACAGGGGGGTCGAGGCAGCTTGTCACGGCTCTGTCCTTGGTAGGACAAGTGCTTGGAGCTCTGCTCCTGCTCCAGGTCAGCCAATTTGCCCACCTGAATACCTGCAAAGTCCTTCCCTGTGCCCAGGGAGGCAGGGCGGGGCCGGGAATTACGCAGAACGTTGGGTGAGATCTTGTTCAAGAAGGAGCCTTTTCCCAGAGAGGTGCTAGTTTGGGGGCTGGGCTCTTTCTCAGCTGAGAGGTAGCTGCTCAGCCCCACACCTGAACGCTCCAGAGTGTTGGACTTAAAGTTCATCTGTCTCAGGCCGGGGATATTGCTCTCCTGGAGAGTTAGCCCTGAGTTTGGCTTTGGCTGACTCAGGGGACTACTTACCCCTGGGGCCTTAGGGATGGAAATTGGCATGGATTTGGCAGCTGGAACCTTCCCTGGAGTGGGTTCCTGGGCAGGAACCAAAACCTTGCCTGGAAAAGGCCCCTGAGCTAGAGCTGGCTCTGGAGCTGGAGCTTTCACTGGAGAAGGTCCCTGGGTCGGAACAGGAGCCGAAGCCTTCTCTGCCACAGGCACAGCTGCTGACACTTGAGTTGGAAATGCAGGCTGAGCTGGAGCCGGGGCGGGGGCCTGAGCGTGAGTCCCCTTGAGTCTGATGGAGCTGGTGGGCTTACTTAACTGAGGGCTGGGCTCATCTTGGTCCTGGGGTAGCCCCAGCTTCTCTAGTGCTTCTTTGCGTGCTTTCCTCTGCTCCTGCAGTGAAGAGGGGACCAGACCCGAATCTCCAGGGGCAGCCTCAGAGTGGCGTGACAGCCAGTTCTGGGGATTACTGTGGAAACTGCTTCGGCTGCTCTTCAGAACAATATTAGGTGGCAGCTTCCGGGGCTTAGGCGCTGTGAGGGGAGCCAGATGGGCATTTGGATTCCCACCTGATGGGATGGGAGCATCTGCAGCTCTAGAATTCTGAGAAGACATGGCAGGGGGAGGCCGAGATTGTCCTGGTGCTCCCACTGAGCCTCTCTCACTAGGTTTTTGGGACATGAGCTCTGAAGAAGTTTCTTTTCTCTTCTGAGAGCTGAGTAATGTGTGGAGCAGGGGCGTGGGGCTCTGTTCCCCTGGGCCTTCAGGCAGGCCGTCTTCCCCACACTGCTCTGGCTGGGCGTCCCGGAAAGCTTCTGGCGGGGGGATGAGTGCTGTGTCCAAATCAAGTGCTCTGCTCCCCTGGCCCCTCACAGAGGCCGTCTTCCCCACACTGCTCTGGCTGGGTGACTCCGAAAGCCTCTGGTCGGGGGTTGAGTGCTGTGTCCAAAGCAAGGGCTCCCACGGTCCAGCAGGAGCCTGGTTGGCCTCGCTGCTCTGACTGACCTGTCCTTTCTCAGGGTCTGGGATGAAACCCTCAGGTTTCGCTGGGAGGTGGCTGTTAGTCTGGGTTGTGTTTTTCCTGGTTTTTCCTGGGTTGTGTTTTTCAATCAAGAGGTTCTGGTTCTTGCTGATATGGATATTTCTGGGAAGGCTGTAGGAGCCAGACCTGAGGCCTAGGCCTTGGGGTTCAGGCAGATGGCGTGAACTGGACTGAGTCACTCTCCTTGGCCCCAGGCTTGGCTGAAGAAGGATTTTCTCCTCTGGATGTCCTGTGAGGAGAACAGGCAAAGAAGAGAGGACAGAGGTGAGAACAGAACCCTAGTGCCGAGGGGAAAGCAAATACTTCCCGAACTCTGATCCTTAATTTGCATGAATGAGTTTTGTTTTTGTTGTTTCTTTGCTCTTAAAGGGGCAGCACTCTTGTCTGGATATCATTTGGACTAATGGATCAATACCAGCAGATTCCCTTCAATCAAGGATTAATTTTTCACGATGGTTGGGGAAAGGGCAGCCCCAGATAGCTCCATGTCCTTGGCTCAGGCTTTTCCTAACCCTCTAAAGATGCACCAGGGTTGGGGAGAGATTCAGGACAGTCCCTCCAGCTACCTTGGGGCTCGCAGGTAACTGAGTCCAATGGAAGCACTGAACACCGACAGCATGAACAGGTGATTTGCTCTTGATTTGACCGAGCTTCTGCCTTCTTCCATTTTTACCTTCTATAACTTCCTGGATGATTCTGTAATAGCCACAGCTGTCCCCATAGCAGACAGTGACACGGGCTCTTTCTTTTCAGCTAGCTAGTCAGATACATCAGGCCCACGGAGCCAGGGAATCAGTCTTAGGTGGCAGTGAAGTCTCACGTTCCCATTCACTGCTCTAGCTCCAAGGAGGGTCTAACACATTGTCAGTAAACATTTGCTAAATGAATGAATAAATAATCGCAGCCTTGATACCAGTGGGATTGCCCTCAGGAGTGAAGTGCTCCCCTACCCTGGGACACATGGCTCTGCACTCACAGCCATACTCATGTGCCATCCTGTTCCACTCCTACTGAGCCTCAGTGCCACTGGCTCTCCCCATTCTCTCACAAGGGCCTGGAGGTGCCACCCACTCAAGTTAAGGGAGCCCTTCCCTCTTCTTATCTCCAGCAGCCTCAGCCTCTGGGTCATCCAGATTAGCTCCCCAGACTGACTCAGTCTCTCCAGAGCCAAACACCCACCCCTCCCTCACTTCTGTGGTTGTATCTATTTAGAATTTCTCCACGAGAGGATGGGAGTTGATCAAACCCCTTTCCCTTCCAGACCTCTGATACTTCATAGAAAGACACAGGAAGCTGGCTCGTCAGCAGTCCCTCCCCCACTTCAGGGACAAGGCTTTATTCTAGCCAGAGAGTGGAGAGGAGCGCGGCCATTCCTTCTTCTGCCTGTGACCCTCAGAGCAAAAGGCAAACAAGGTGGAAAGTAGCCAGAAGGAAGTACAGATTTTCTGGGTTTCACTAGGTGCTACCCCTGACAGTCCCTCTTACCCTGGGGAGCAGGCTGGGTTATGGGCAGTTCTCGGGGACTTTGGGGAGTTGTGGCTTTCTCAGACTCGTCAGTGGACAGTCCGCTGTCAGCCTCAGTGTCCAGCGAGCCAATGGTCTCCTCCAGGAAGAGCAGACACTCCTTCTCTTCGGCGGACAGGAAGTCGTAGCTGCTGTCACTCTGGAGTGAGGAGAGGGAGAGCGCACTGTGAGAGGGAGCTCTGCAGAAACTGGCGGAGCCTGAGAACCACCCTGTGTTGGGGAAGGAATGCTGAAGAGCTGGAACCTGTCCACAATGCCACTCCGCAAACCTGCTGGAGTTGCTTCCTGAAACTGCAGGACACCAGGGAGGGCAGAGACTGCCAGGCTGCTGTCCTACTAGCATCTGGCTCTGGTAGCTGGGCAGGCAAATGGCAAGTGGCCTTTCTTTTGCTTAGTCCTGGGTGAAATGCTTAGGAGCACAGATCAGATGCGGTCCCAGGTTTTAATTCCAATTTCTCTGTGTGACCTATGTCAGATATTTGTGTGTGACTCTGATTTAGCTCTAAATTATATGGGCAACATAATGATTTGATCTTCAGCTTGAATGGTATTGTTTTTAGTGTTTCAAAGTACTTCTGTATACTTGATCTAGCATGTCAAGGACAGTATGAGGACAAATAAGAAACACAGCCAACTACTGGCTGCCAGGCCAGTGGAAACAGTGGCATGATTAGCCATAGATAAATTAACTAAATAACTTATACTTGACTTTGAAATGCATTTCGTATAAAATTTTTTCCCTTGTGTATTTACTTTCTTAATGGTATTTGGCTCTCGCTAACATTCAAATAAATGTGTGCTTCTTAAGCAAATATTAACTTAAGTGGGGAAGGTGAAGAAACTGGATAGGTATGGGGGAAGAAGAAAGCAATCTAGTATTAAATGTTACGTAGATATTAAATAAATAATGTTCATTGTGAGAAAGCTTGTAGGACTAGCTGGAAGAAAACTCTGTGGTCATTCAGGATGGTTACCATCTGTGTTCCACAGGCCGGGAAGATCCATGGCGTTCCATGGATCTTCCTCCAAACAAGAAGGTTGAGGGGAAAACCGAAAGGGTACATGGGAATATAAGTAACTTGGCTTGAGTCACTTCCTCACATCTCTCCTCCTCTTCCTAATATTTGAGACACTTTAGAGTTGTACATTCTTCAGATCCACTCAGATGACCAGGAAAGATTTAGAGATAGCCCTAAAAATATCCTGGGGGGAGGGGAGATGGTTGTCGGAATAACCCTTCCAGTTCCAGTGGCTCCTTAAACAGCTGTCTGTCAGTTGACTGAGCATTTCAAGCGAAGCCCCAGATATGGCCCTTAGAAGCCCTGAAGCCAACTCTGACTCCGGGGATTCTCTGAACAAAGACCTTGCTGCCCGCTTCCACCTAAAGTAGCCTTGCCAAAGGCAAGCCAGCTCTGAATTTTTCCTTTGTGGGTGATTCACTTTGAAAACCTTTAATCCTGGTCACATTCTGTGTCTAATGGTATGTAACTATTCATCTTGGCCTGAGCCTAAAGAAACAAAATGATGTCTCTGTGGCCCCATCACCTAGGGTCAAAGAGAAGTTATATACAGATTGCTTGCACTTTGGATTGTGTGTGTGTGTGTGTGTGTGTGTGTGTGTGTGCTTTTTTCTACTCCCTTTTTACATATCGGAACGCATTGACTCTAATTCAGCAGAGACCTTTCTAATCCTTAATATTTCAAATCCCTCTTGTAGGATATAAAGCCATAAAGTATAAGTTCTCAGGCGTTATTAACTTTGTGACGAGTACGGACAAGAAAAGAAGGCTTACATTTGGACACAGGGCAGATTTACGCTTTCACACCAGCCTTTCAAGACTTAAGATTTAAATTCATGCCCCCCAAAATTACAGTTTATTACATGCCAGTCACATATAGTTAAATACAGTGGCTTTGGAAAATACACAATCTCTGCTCATAGGTCATTTTTTTCCTACACAGACATATGTGCTAAGTGCTTTGTATGCATCTTATTTACTCTCCCCACCCCACCCCAAGAACTCTATGAATTCAGTGTTATTATCCCCACTTTAAAACTGAGGAGACTGAAGTTTAGAGAAATTAAGTAATTTGCCCAAGGTCATATAGCTTATAAGTAGCAAACTCAGATCGGTTTGGTTCCAGAACCCAAGCTGCCAGTTACCCTATTGTCTTTGATCTTTGTAAAGACTGAAGTAGTGCTGCTCACTGCAGAGACCTTCGGGAACCTATGTGCTACAAGGGTCTACGTTCCAGTTTCCATCATGACCTCAGATCTCTAGCCAGCATGCTCTCTCACCTCAACTCAGACCCCCAACCTAATGAAAACTAGAAAAAAGTCTCATTTCTCCTGCTGCTTTCTGGGGTTGTCTCACCCCATTCTCCATAGAATGATGGGTGACTCAGAGGTAGAAAGCATCATTTGGTATGATTCACTCCCTGACAAGGAAGATGAAAGAGAAGGAGCAGTGAGCAAGGACGGTGGTGGGCAGGGAGGGGCGGGGCAGGGCAGGGCCGGGAAGGTGTGCAGACAGCGGGCCAGGTTGCAGGACAGAGAGTACGTACAGATCCAGAGCGCGTGGAGGTGGTGCTCATCATGCTGTCACAGCTGCTGACGCGGGTCACAGGTTCCGAGCCCGGCCCAGCTGGCCACAGCTCCCTCTCGGGCATTGCCAGAAGCAAGGTGCAGAGACGGTGAAAGGGGCTCCCAGAGGGGAAGCGAAGGGAAGCGAAGAATGTCCCAAGCTGGGCCTGAAAAGAGAAGAATCAAAGCCACGTGTGAGCCGAGATCGGGCTCTGGCAAGGCTCTGCCTGGAGCAGCATGGCGGTGGGGTCGCCAAGCAAGCAGAGAGCTGGAAGGGGCCATGGACAGCTGTTACCCAAACCCAAACTGCCAGTAAGCTGGCTCACATACATGCAGAAGGATGGACTTAGGTGGTGGAAAAGCAGTCTAGTCAGAAAGGAAATTCCATCACTTCCTTTAGTCACCTTTTTCTCTGAACTATGGTGCTTAACCTATATTTTATTACTATAACGATAAATGTTATAGGGGTTAATAGCTTGGATTCTGGAGGTAGTTGGATCTGGGTTCAAATCACAGTTTAGCCATTCACAGATATGTGACTTGAGGCAAATTACTCTTTGAGTTTTTCCTCATTAAATAGGGTAAATGTAAGGATTAAATGAGAACAATTAGCACAGTTTAACTGATAGTAAATACTCAAACACTTAATGAATGACTGCCACGGCTCTTATAATAAGAAAAAGACAAAATTGCTCTAGGATCAAGAGTTTAGAAAAGGAGGGATCAGGTTAAATGGGAGACTAGAGGCTCGAGAGAAGAAGCAGGGCCCTTAATAGTACCTACTTCATAGGGTCGTTTGGAAGGTATAACAAAACACTCCATGTACAACACTGTGCAGTGCATGGTCCAGTAATTACTAGCTGCTGTCATAGTCAACATCGCCAACATCACCACAACAGCCACCACCACAGCCGCCATTATCTCCCTAGGCTGGGAGACCTGTGCATGGCACCTCCAGTGGTTGACACAAACCCAGTTTCCATCTCGTGCATCACGCCCTCTATTGTTGCACTTATTCCCGATGAGGTTCCCTAACCTGTGTCAAATGAACATGAGAGATGCCCTATGTAGTGTTCTCCCAACTCCAATTCCTAGGAAAAAAGTTCCAAGTTCATTGAGCCAATAGTAATAGCAAAGGAAGGCAGTGCCATCTTCCTTCTGAAAAACTCAGGGATTTTCATATCACCGTTTGTGGGAAACACTTCAGAAGATTTGGAAAGGCCAGTGTGACTCTCCTACATGAAAATAAAATTCTAAAAGAATTAAGATTAAAAGACAGACCAAATAGAGAGTTGGAAGAGAGGTAGAATATAGACTATGGAATATAGAATATAGAATATAAAATATTCCCCATGACATCATACTATGTTTTCTACCATCTTTACTACCCTCCCAATGCTAGGTAAAATATCCTACAATAATATGTTCTATTTGAGATCTTGGGACTTGGGGTATGGATTCCAGGGCAGGTTGTACTTTTGCCAAAAATTGCTTCTAGTGCCAAAGTCAGGTTTAGGCTGTGCTGTGTGAGTCAGCCTGCCAGCTCTGTAGAGCTGCAAAGCACCAGGCCTCACAGAGCTCCTCTTCTGCTTGAGGCAGGTAGGGAGGGGCAGGACAATGGGGAATGAAGAAGGAAGATCCCTAATGATACATATAGTTTGTGAGGGTCCAGAACCTCTCAGGAGATAGAGAGGGAACCAGAAGGGACAGAGATGCCAAAGAAACCTAGTGATAAATCATTGGATAAGATAGCAATTAAGGTTCCTTCATGAGGTTAGTTCCCCAATATCCAGAACCCCACAGAAACAGAAACATACGAAGTCATGTGAGTTAAGTTCAATCATCTCAGCTGTCCACTCCATTGATGACTGTCTAGGTTCAGAGAGTACTAACTCATTCCTAACATTCTGTGGGCTGGAAGCCATTACAGCAAAGCGGATCCATCTCTCCTAAGCGTAGGCACACAGAAGGCACTCAAAAAATGCTGGATGAATAAACTTATCATCTATTCTAGTGTCTATTGAGTTAAGCTATTGGAAGCCCTCTTTGGGGGCTTCTACCCTATTAGTGTAAGCTCTTTCTTAAATATTTTATTTCTCAGAGACTATATGGCTCAGTGGACTTTGGGCAATGGTTTCAGTTAAACTAACATTTATAAGCATGTAATAGGCATGGGGTGTGCAAAACTTCATAAGACAAAGACATCATTTCCAAGAAGTCAGTGTAGATCCAAGGGTCTAGTTTTTGGCTCCAGCTATCTTAGCTGCAAAATTGGGGCAGTAAATATTAAAAGTGACTCACTATAGTTAATACAATATTCTCTGTGAATGAGTGAGAGGATGCTTCCCCTCCCTTTCAGAGAAAATTACTACCCATGTTCTTCTAATACTTCAGACTTTATAGTGGTTTGCTAGCCCATCCTCCTACCACACTCTCATTTCAGAACCAAGGATGGCCTGAAGCAGCTGGAAGAGACAGAAACAAATGAATAGCGCTGCTTCAAAAAACATAGCATGCTATAGCTTACAAAGTGTTTTCAGGTATGCTACTTAGATCTTCAAAATAACCTGAAAATTAGGCAGGATGTGACATTTTCTTCATTTGACAGCTAAGAAAGCTGGAGCTTTTTCTACTTCCCTTCCTTAATGGAAGTAAGGAATGACCTATAACTGCACAGATAGGGCAGCCCATGGATCCCAGCCCTCTTGAGGGCATCGCAGACTGTCCAGATGCAAGAGAGCAGCACATAAAGAGGGGTCATTGGCTGCCCTTGACTAAATACTAAAAGTCCTACAGTAACCCTTCTCCTTCTAACTCACACCTTAAACCCTGTACATTATCTGATTTAGCTTGATGTTTCCAGGCCAGGTTTTGCCTCAACAACAGATATTTCCAGAGTAAGGAGATGACACCAAATGCCATTAAAGATCACGTCATCATCAAGCACTACATAACCACTGCAGAGATGAATCTGAACCTAAAACCAAAGCTGAATGAGCTCCAAAGTGCTTGTACTTTGTCTCCACACCTCATTTTCTGACCCAAGGAGTTTGAACTGTAAAAAGGTCTTCTCTTCTTCCACCACTTCCACCCTCCCTCCCCACTTCCACCCTCCCTCCCCGGTTTGGCCTGATCTGGATGCTGCGTTTCCCTCTACCAACTTTACAACCTTGAAACTTGGGGGATATTTCAGGGCAACCATCGAAACCTGAGATATTTCAAACTGATAAGAAGCCTGAGAAACAAGCAAAACACTTAGGTGAGAGTCTGGTATCTTTTAACTCTTGACCTTTTGGGGGGACTTTAAGGGAGGAGGAAATGGGTTAAGAAATGCACAAGGCCTACAGTCAAGGCCACCCATGCAAAGGCAAAGGCACATTAAATATTAACAACTCCACTAAAACCAGCCAAGCCTTGGAGGAGAGTAAATAAATAGCACGTGGAGTTCCAGCATCTGCAGAGCATGGGGTGGGGAGAAGGCTTCAGCTCCACTCCAGTTTGGTTTCTCTATACCTTCTAAGTAGACGCCTCCCGTGAGCCCACCTCTACATCCTCCAAGAGCTCAGCCTTCCTCCGCAGTAGACAAGGAGGTTTCCTATTTCTCTTAGACAGGTGTCTCTGCTTTTTGCTGAGTACGTTTATGCTGCTTAGGCTGGAGAATATCCTAAGAAAAATGCCAGAAAGACTAAAAGTTGCACTGTGGATCCTTCTCCATGACCACATGGGCAAGTTTCTGTGCCTGTTAAGGCAATGTTGTAATCTCCCTTTTCACCAGTGGCTTTGAAGGAAGGGTAGGTAGAAATACCCTCTGGACAAAAGGGCTTTCTTTGACACTGCAGGTTATCATTATTGCTGACAAGGTCACCATCTGTGGCAGCCCTCAGTCAATCAGTTTGGTGGGCTGGTTCTGTGGCTTGGGCTAAGCTAAAGCTTAAAAGGTCTAGTCGCAGGACTGGAAGGAAACCCAGTATATTCAGCTGGGAGCCTGGCACTGAGGTCTTTGCACTTCCCTTTCTACAGCATTAGGAGGAAAAGAGGTAAAGTTTAGGACCAGAGTGTTAGCGCCCCACCAAAGTAGACAATGGAGAGCTGAGTTGCTATTCTGAGCTTCCTCGTGTAGATAAACCTGCCACACATACTGCAAACTGGGACACCTGAAGGATGAAATAAAAACAAAAAAAACCACTACATCGCTCTGGTTCTCTCTGTGGACGTGGCCACGGTACTTTGGCCTGAGCCCCACTTGGAACTCCTACCAGAGTCAACGTGCTACTCTGAAATACTAATGTGGGTGAGGCCCCGGCACAGCCAAGGAGCTGTCTGTTTGCCAGTCTCTACGTCTATTAACAGGTAACGTTGGAAAATTAATTGAGTTGAACCCAAACAAACCAGACCCTGCAAGTAGATTATGCATGAGTTTTCCAGAGATGAACTGGTTGCTTAAGCTGGAGTTGTCCCAGTGTAACCAAACCTCACCTAACAGCCTAGCAGAGCTCACACCTTACACACCTGTCCACAGACAGCTCCATTATCACACTGCCATTATTGAACACACACACATTGCACCTTTTATTTAAATAAAAATAGACGATAAGTTCAGAAAGCCATGAGAGAATTTCCTGTTAGAAATGCAGCAGGAAACCACTCTTCTCTCCCGGGTGATCCCCCGTTTTGACTTCTGCTACAACTATTCTCTTTCAAAGTCAAAACTCAATTTCAATTGCTCAGAGATGGATTTCCAAAACAAACCTATCTTCTTGTTTCTGTACGATATGCTTATCTAACTCAAATAGGCAGATGAAAAAAACATGCATTCTAGCCCTGGTCTCCACGAAAACACTTCGCTCTAACCTACTCTGATCTCTGACTGGTCTCCGAGGGTTGAGAAACAGAGAAGAAAGCACCCTAGCTTGGGTACAGGGCTCCCCATAATCCCATAGCTCTGACTTTCCACGAAGCCCCCACCCGACCCCTTTGCTACAGCAATAGTTGATTAGCAATTCACTCACCTTTACTGGTTGGGGGCTGAAGAGAGGAAAGGAAATACCCTTGTGTTTCGAAGGGCAGAGACGAGACAGTGACTGCTTCCCCTGCCTCCTGCTGCTTTCTTCTTTTGACCTCTTCCTGACTTACCTGGACAGGTAAATGCTTCATCTGTGCTGCCTCA